GGACTACCGCGACCAACACATCGACCTGACACTCACGTCAACAGTCTTGAGCCCTCGAACTGCTACATCCTGCCGATCGTCTCACTACAGTCGACCCCTCTTAAAAGACAAACCGCGTTTTTTTTTTTGGAGTGTCTTTAACGCGGGGAAGTGTCTTTAGGATTCCGGGGCCACTAGTTCATCGTCCCCGGGGTCAATGGAGGTGTAACATGTGTCAAAATACGCGCATTTGAAGCAGGAATGCGACCACGACATTGTGCTGCTTAAAAACTGCGACAACACGTCAATTGAAGGCCGCAACACTACTGCTGCTGTACTTCAATACTGTACACATTTTTGAATTTCCCTCAACCACCGAAAAGCGGGAAGGAGTACAGCACGACCTATTGTAATGCGTACGGCAGTGTGCGCTGGTGTTCTTGTAGGCTTTTCTTATTGTCAAGGCGTTGTCTTCACAGTGAACATCATGCCCGTGATATCGCGAACACACCTGAGACACATCAGTTTGTTGGAACTAGCTCTGATACGATACACGCAAGTTACCTGCCACATAAGGAACAAACACACCCAGTCGACCCCTTAGAGGGATCTGAGGGACACTAGGAAACGGTCGGTAGCGCAGACCACAACATACAAAAAATCGGGCAAACCCACCGAAAAGAGAACACCGCTCTTCCCCAAAGGTCAACACGAGGTAAAAACACAAAACAAAAAATGCCAAAATTCAACTCCACGAGAAAGGCAAAAAAATCCCAAACAACGACACGAGTTGAGACTTTTGCTGGCTCGTGGGTTCGCCACATGGCCTCAAGCCGGCAGCTGACGACCCGCCAGCAGATGGGAGGAATCTCTCCATACCCACACGCAGTAGTGCGGGCTGAAGCAGACCGCTGTCGATGTTACAATGCCTTACAGATTTGCTGCCCCAGCAATAATTTGGGGGGGGGGGGCGCATAGTGGAAACGCTACTCCCCTATATTATTGTACATCTGCGAGGCACCATGTTCTGGGGAAAAAATGTGTCTTTATAGCGGGGAGTTTCCTTGAAAAGAGTGTCTTTAAAGCGGGGACGACTGTATCTGATTTCCGGTCAGTATTCTTGCAGGGCACGGAGGCCCCCCTACTCAGACAAAACAGCATCGTTTCCGGGTCTAGGCCAAAATGCCAGGAACACAGGTACATGGTGCAAGGGGAAACGTCCCCCGCCCGAGTCATGCCTTCTGTGCCTCTAAGATGTACAACGGTTCGAAGGTGTGAGTTTGTCATCGTTCATGGAGCAAGGTATTGAAGTACGGACACAAAGAGGTCACGCCATTGCCAGCCTCCTGTGGCCCCTCTTTCCGATGGATAGTCGATGGGTTCCGAGGAAAGGCGAAAGGAAAATCAAACGACCGCCCCTAAGAGGTGGCACGGCCTGGGTTGCAAGCACGATGTATCGTGAAGCTGCTGTGGAAGGCAACCTATAGCGGAAATGACACCCCAACACATGAAACGAGGAGCCACCAATAGGTTGCCTTCATATTTGGGGGAGTGTCACGTGTAGTCCCCAAGTCGTTACGGGCCATCTGACATGTCGCGTACATACATACAACCACGTCGTGCGTCGTGCAGGCGACACTACGAGTGTCATGAAACATGCCAACTGCAAACCTGAGCTAACGTTCCGTAAATTGCACCAATCCAACTGAGCGACTCGAAGACGCAGAGAGGGTCGCCAAATAGGGCGTGTAGTCGGCACTGTTCCCGCACAACACGGACGTTAACTCTCCCTTACCGGTAAGTTCGTTGCCGTTGAGCCCGAGTTGTTCCAACTTGCCGAGACCTCCAAGCTCTCTCGGGATGGACCCTGCAACAATCAAAAGAGCCAAATGGTGATCTCGTTATTGTAGTTCGCCACTGGTGGGCGCGGCGTGTTGAAAAGGTATGGTGCGGCCGGCTGGTAAACAAAACGGTCTGACATACCGCGTGGGCGAGACACGAAAGGAATCAATCTTCGCACGCCTTCCAGTCTCACCAGTGAGCTTGTTGTCGTGCATGACAAGCGCCTGCAGCTCGCTGAGTGCTCCAAGCGCCTCGGGGATGGACCCTGCACGAGACAAAAGCACAATGAGCCGCATTGCCTGGTCAAAATGCACATGTAACGCAGGACATCATGTGTCGCCCACGCCTTGTGTGTACTGTACGGAGGTGCTCTACAACCTAGCCAAACTGTTTTCCAGAACCCAACACCAGCTACGAGACAATCGCTGCTGGTGTACTGGGCATGAGGAAACATGTGTCATGCCGCCGGCTTGTTCAACATCGGACCCGTCTACCTCGTGGGCGAGACACGAAATGAACCCACGTCCCCACGCCATCCTCTCTCACACATGAACTTGGTGTCGCTCAACGCACAAGATTCTTCACCTTGCGATGTACGTCTCACGTGCAATCGACTCGCATGCGTTCTCCAAGATCAGAATATCGCCACCCTCCCGAGGCTTCGGGGGACGCCATAGAAGCCAACCAGACCATCTATTGAAACCCTCTAATGGCAACCACAAGCTCTTGCCGGTGAGCTCGCTTGCGTCCGGACTACCACGACCAACACATCGACCTGACACTCACGTCAACAGTCTTGAGCCCTCGAACTGCTACATCCTGCCGATCGTCTCACTATCTGATTTCCCGTTGGTTTCTTGCAGGGCACGGAGGCCCCCCTACTCAGACAAAATTCGACCTGTATCTCCAACAGCATCGTTTCCGGGTCTAGGCCAAAATGCCAGGAATACAGGTACATGGTGCAAGGGGAAACGTCCCCCGCCCGAGTCATGCCTTCTGTGCCTCTAAGATGTACAACGGTTCGAAGGTGTGAGATTGTCATCGTTCATGGAGCAAGGTATTGAAGTACGGACACAAAGAGGTCACGCCATTGCCAGCCTCCTGTGGCCTCTCTTTCCGATGGATAGTCGATGGGTTCCGAGGAAGGGCGAAAGGAAAATCAAACGACCACCTCTAAGAGGTGGCACGCCCTGGGTTGCAAGCATCATGTATCGTGAAGCTGCTGTGGAAGGCAACATATAGCGGTGATGACACCCCAACATATGAAACGAGGAGCCACCGATAGGTCATATTTGGGGGAGTGTCACGTGTAGTCCCCACGTCGTTACGGGCCATCTGACATGTCGCGTACATACATACAACCACGTCGCGCGTCGTGCAGGCGACACCACGAGTCTCATGTAACAAACCAACTGCAAACCTGAGCCAAGGCTCCGCAACATGCACCAATCCAACTGAGCGACTCGAAGACGCAGAGAGGGTCGCCAAATACGGCGTGTAGTCGGCACTGTTCCCGCATAACACGGAGGTTAACTCTTCCTTACCGGTAAGTTCGTTGCCGTCGAGCCAGAGCTTTTCCAACTTGCCGAGACCTCCAAGCTCTCTCGGGATGGACCCTGCAACAATCGAAAGAGCCAAATGGTGATCTCGTTATTGTAGATCGCCGCTGGTGGGCGCGGCGTGGTGTAAAGGTATGATGCGGCCGGCTGGTTCAACATCGGTCCGACCTACCGCGTGGGCGAGACACGAAAGGAATCAATCTTCGCACGCCATCCAGCCTCACCAGTGAGCTTGTTGTCGTGCAAGTAAAGCACCTTCACCTCGCTGAGAGCTCCAAGCGCCTCAGGAATGGACCCTGCACGAGACAAAAGCACGATGAGCCGCATTGCCTGGTCAAATTGCAAATGTAACGCAGGACATGATGNTGCACGAGACAAAAGCACAACGAGCCGCATTGCCTGGTCAAATTGCAAATCTAACGCAGGACATCATGTGTCGCCCACGCCTTGTGTGTACTGAATGGAGGTGCTGCACAACCTAGCCAAACTGTTTTCTAGAACCCAACACCAGCTATGAGACAACGCCTATTATTGTTTCCCTCAGAATCCAGGTCGATTCGGTTCGCGACGAACACGATCAGCATATTGCACTGACACTTAGGTCCAGCATCCCGACCTCTCAAACGTCCCTCGTGACCATATCTCGCCGATTGTCTCGTCCACTACCGGATCTGTCGCAGGCACCAATGCCTCGCTGTTCAGATGAGATGTAACCTAATCAGATCCGGACTTCGGAGACAACTCCGGGCAGGACGTTGAAGAGAGCAGGGGAAAAAGACTCCCGCTCGAGCTATGTCTTCGGGTGCTTTTGCTACACACAACCGCTCCAAGCTGCGGCGAGGTCGGTATCGTCGAACGCAATGGTTCGAAACACATGGCACAATCGGATGCCCATCCGTCAGGTTCTTCCTGTGGCCTCGAGTTACAATCACTAGTCGAGAGATTCCCATGACCGGAGAGCGCAGTAAAGTACTCATCCTTCGAGGTGTAAAGCATGGAGCATCCTCAGTTGCATCTACAATGCACCGTGAGGCTGTCAACGTCACACGGCAAGCTGTGACGACACCCCCAGCACCTCAACAAGAAGCAGAACACCGATGTGCTGTCGCCGCCACGTAGTGAGGGCAAGTGTCACGGACAGTCGCCACTTCGTTGTGGGCCAACCGATATAACCGCGTCTTTACAGCCTTGCCGAGTCCAAAAGCCCCCGTGTAGGACACCCATCAAAGTGGCCACGGTATGGCATCGTGCAAAAACGTGTTGCCAAACACCGAATAATGGGTACGTGAACGGATACAAGCTGCCAGCTGCTTGAAACGTTGTCTTTGCGACAGCAACAAAAACAATACACAAACAACGAACACAAGACATCTTCATCGATGTCGTGCGATCCTACTGCACACTACGCTCCACGGCATCGTGAGCGGGATTGTTCCCGCTTCGCAACGGGTTCCATTCTCCCTCACCGGTCAGCTTGTTGCCGTCAAGTCGAAGAAATTGCACCTTTCCGAGGCCTCCAAGCTCTCCGGGGATGGAACCTGCACCGGCGTAAAGCAGGTGACCCACTGGTTATCTTGCTGCTGGTGTACTGGGCATGAGGAAACATGTGTCATGCCGCCGGCTTGTTCAACATCGAGCCCGTCTACCTCGTGGGCGAAACACGAAATGAACCGATGTCCCCACGCCATCCTCTATCACACATGAACTTGGTGTCGTTCACCACACAAGATTATTCACCTTGCGAAGAAAGTCTCACGTGTGATCGACCCGCATGCGTTCTCCAAGATCAGAATGTCGCCACCCTCCCGTGGCTTCGGGGGACGCCATAGAAGCCAACCAGACCATCTATTGAAACCCTCTAATGGCAACCAAAAGCGCTTGCCGGTGAGCTCGCTTGCGTCCGGACTACCGCGACCAACACATCGACCTGACACTCACGTCAACAGTCTTGAGCCCTCGAACTGCTACATCCTGCTGATCGTCTCACTATCTGATTTCCGGTCAGTATTCTTGCAGGGCACCGAGGCCTCCCTACTCAGACAAAATTCGACCTGTATCTCCAGCAGCATCGTTTCCGGGTCTAGGCCAAAATGCCAGGAACACAGGTACATGGTGCAAGGGGAAACGTCCCCCGCCCGAGTCATGCCTTCTGTGCCTCTAAGATGTACAACGGTTCGAAGGTGTGAGTTTGTCATCGTTCATGGAGCAAGGTATTGAAGTACGGACACAAAGAGGTCACGCCATTGCCAGCCTCCTGTGGCCTCTCTTTCCGATGGATACAGTAGGTGGCCCGATAGAGTGGCATATAGTGGCAAGAGGACAATATGCCACTATTCAAGGCAGTTGCCACTATCCGATATAGTGGCAAACGTGCCACTACTGGCCCGCAATAGTGGCACTTTTGCCACTATATCGGATGAGAAGCTTTGATATTCACGAATTCGACTGCATTTCATTGGATGTACACTCATGTGCGCTGTATACGTACGGGTAATGCCATGATGTGCTGCACTCCTCGTGGTTTAGCATTTGTGTGCAGCAGTATCCGCATGAACTGCTTCAAACGACACTTGATTGTCCAAGGTTCCGGGCCTTCTGTGGTCAAATCCCATTTTTCTGTGCAAACAGACTGCAGGAACCACGGTACGTCCAAACGCATTGTAGCCACGTGTTCACAGTTATAGGTCCGCGCAGGTTTGAATGATACGTGTGGCGGCCACTGCTGATCTGTGTGTGGGCAGATGTGGTACAGCAGTGGTGGGGGCTCGCTACCTGGAACTGCCACTATTGGGTGTGTGGAATGTCCAAAGTGCCACTATTGAGGGCCCCGTCCGCAATAGTGGGAAAGTGCCACTATATCGGGCCACCTACTGTAGTCGATGGGTTCCGAGGAAGGGCGAAAGGAAAATCAACCGACCACGTCAAATAGGTGGCACGCCCTGGGTTGCAAGCATGATGTATCGTGAAGCTGCTGTGGAAGGCAACATATAGCGGTGATGACACCCCAACACATGAAACGAGGAGCCACCGATAGGTTGCCTTCATATTTGGGGGAGTGTCACGTGTAGTCCCCACGTCGTTACGGGCCATCTGACATGTCGCGTACGTACATACAACCACGTCGCGCGTCGTGCAGGCGACACCACGAGTCTCATGGAACAAACCTACTGCAAACCTGAGCCAACGCTCCGTAACATGCACCAATCCAACTGAGCGACTCGAAGACGCAGAGAGGGTCGCCAAATAGGGCGTGTAGTCGGCACTGTTCCCGCACCACACGGAGGTTGACTCTCCCTTACCCGTAAGTTCGTTGCCGTCGAGCCCGAGCTGTTCCAACTTGCCGAGACCTCCAAGCTCTCTCGGGACGGACCCTGCAAATATCGAAAGAGCCAAATGGTGATCTCGTTATTGTAGATCGCCGCTGGTGGGCGCGGCGTGGTGAAAAGGTGTGATGCGGCCGGCTGGTTGAACATCGGTCCGACCTACCGCGTGGGCGAGACACCAAAGGAATCAATCATCGCACGCCATCCCATCTCACCAGTGAGCTTGTTGTTGCTCATGACAAGATTCTTCAGCTCGCTGAGAGCTCCAAGCGCCTCGGGGATGGACCCTGCACGAGACAATAGCACAATGAGCCGCATTGCCTGGTCAAATTGCAAATGTAACGCAGGACATTATGTGTCGCCAACGCCTTGTGTGTACTGAACGGAGGTGCTCTACAACCTAGCCAAACTGTTTTCCAGAACCCAACGCCAGCCATGAGACAACGCCCATTATTGTTTCCCTCAGAATCCAGGTCGATTCGGATCGCGACGAACACGATCAGCATATCGCACTCTCTGCTAGGTCAAACATCCCGACCTCTCAAACGTCTCTCGCGATACAACCCGCCGATCTTCTCACGATCGTCCCGCTGGGTAGTCTTATGTTTCATGCCACAAATGTTTCCCCGCTCAGAAGCGATCAGGCCATTCTCTTAAAGGGTATCGTTTCCGGTTCTAGGGGTACAGATGAAGGGCGCTACAAAGCGGTGCTCTCAATCACCCCGTGTTTTACCTTCATCATACATTCGGGAATCGTGAGATTGGTATCGTCCCGAAAGTAATGCTTGGAATGTCATGGACGCTCGTGGAAGCTCATGCTAGCTAAATACGGGAGAAAAGGGCGTCAATTCGCATCAATCAACATAGGGAAGATCACCCATTGACAACTCGATGCCGACGCAAAGCAGATGGCACAGAAAGCGAATTCACAACGCGGACTAGACATGACAATACCGTGGAGGTTGTTGTTCGGCAGGGCCAGCTCCACCACACGGCCCGCGTGGTTAAGTCTGACCCCCTCCCAAGTAGCCAGCCCCGCTTCCGTGTTCCAGTTCCTTTTCCTTTTCCAATTTGCTCCATCAGTCGAATGAAACAACGCAATCAGTGCGGCACGATCCATGGAAGACATCTGAGCCTGCTCCTGCTGCCGCAGTCTTGCCCTCCACGAATCAAGACTCTCGAGTTTCGCCGGCCCTCCTGAATCGCACGAACACCAGGCAAGAGTGAAACGATATACGAAATCCTTCTCATGACCACACTCCACTCGTCGCGGCGCTGGACGAGTTGATTCAATATTGCTCTACAAGAAGAGTCCGATATATACATTTCTATTGTATCAATGTTGATACAATAATCGTTTCCCCACTTTCTGTATTTTCATTGATTCTGCTTTTGCGCGACATTCCCGGGCTATCCTTGCCAGCATGATCATACACTCGCCCTTTGTGGTTACTGAGAGCGCGACAGAGAGAGCGGCAAGAGACAGAGCCTCCATGGTGCCTGATCGAGTGTCTGCACCAAACTAGTGGACAACAGATTATCCCTTCGCAGCATTCATGGTGCTCTGCCTGCAGCAAAGAAAGCGACTTGAGACGACATTCTGAAATATTGCATCATCGATACTACCCGACCTAAGGCTACCAGCCCACAACCGTCTCTGGAAATGTTATGGCTTTCCTGGGACGCCACCGGCCGCACACGATTAGCCCACCAAATTTGACTACTTCGCAGCCATCGTCTCACGAAACAACACATCGGCTATCACAGATAGACAACTTGATAAAGTCACACAAGAAGTGAGGTGTATGTCTCGTGGGTAAATCTAGTCCAGACCCTCTCCCACCACAATAGATGAGTTCGTGTAGGTGAAAGTTCGAGGGTTGGGACAGGATGTCGGTGAGTGAGTTCAAACACCTATCAAAAGTTCATTGGTTCGGATATTGCGCTCAAATCCATCTCCGTGGATGCCGTCCCGCCTTCACGGTATTGCAATGGCCGGTGCGAGGGAAACTTGTTAAGGTCCAAAAGGTTGTTCATTCGGTCGGCCTCCCCTTGCTTTGTGGTGCATTTGGAGTGGCGTGCATTGTCCTATCTTCGAAGAGCAGCGCAATCTCAGGATCCTCATTCGTCGTTTGACCACTAGTACAAGCTTCGTGACGGCTTTCCGGATGTTTCCTGGAACGCAGACACTGAAGGAACATCGCACCCACAAATCACACGCTTACGTCGGAGTGAATCAATTGAGGCAATCGATTTTCTTGCTGCGACAGAGTTACAGCGCCACACATCTTGAAAAATACCATGGCCTTTTCGGTGTCCAAGAGGCAAGGAATGCTCAAACTACAGTTCTCCGTCTACTCTCCCTCACCGGTCAGGCTGTTGCTGGCGATGTCAAGCCTCTTGAGGTTGCGCAGAGCTCCAAACTCGTGAGGGATGGAACCTGGACAAATATGCATCGCATGCTATTCAAGGCTCGTCATCGTCCCGCCGGACCTTGCGGGTAAAATACGAATGCCGGCGCCGGTACGGTGTTCAACCAACAAGAGGTTTCATGACTGCCGGAGCACGTTCGAGGATGTGGATTGCACGACAAGCACCGCCGGGTCAGACATGTCCTAGCATACGACGGTCTCAATGCACTTGTCAATGGCTCCCATTCAATCAAGTCACCAATCCCAGGGCTGCGACCGGAGGCTGCGAGATTCCGCACGGTCCTTCACGTGTTTCCGCGCGGACCCATTTCGTGCTTCTTGTCTCTGTTCCTTGCCGCTGGCTATGTTCAAGACAAGGCAACGTTGGACACCGGATAGCGATTTCTCTGCTCTACTTCCATATTCGCATGTTTACGGTTCAACCCCCGCACCCCGCTCAACCGAATGTTTGACCTGCTGCGAAGTGTGTGATGTATAGGAATTGGTTCTTGATCTTGACAGGGATACGGCGTCACGATCACACCCTGGGAAAAATCATGACATTTTCGGTGTCCACTCAGCCATGCAATGCATGCTCCAGTGTCCGCGATACTGTATTGTGTTTTAGACCCGGTTTACAGTCGACTTTCCCTCAATGGTCAGGCAACATGTTTGGGATGGACGAAGCGGCGTATTGGGGGTACCGTTCCATCTAAGCAAGTTCCCTGGAAAGTCTACCCCCAAAGGAAAATACGTAGCGTTCACATTCTTCAGCTCGCCAGGACTACGATCACCTCTTGGACAAATTTAGAAACACATCACTAAACGGACCAACGGGGGCAGCACGCCAAAACAAACCTTCTTGCTCTTGATTTTACGGTCATCACGTTAGCCGTGCGCCAATAAATTGAGCGATACAGAGACAGGGCGGCGGCAAAAGCCACCCGCCCGGGCAATGTATTTGGTTCTCACAAGAATGCATTGGCAATGGTTGGGCACTGTGACGTCGTCATCCCCTCGTACAGTACCGTTCCAAAGTCTTGGGGCCCTCAGAACCATAGCTCAACCTCCACCGATGTACAGAACGCGGCCACGACATCGCAAGACGCGTTTTGTGTGTTTTCGCCATTTGTATTATGGCGACAGCCCCCACTTTTCGTGTTGAGACGTGCACCACACGTGTTTCAGTGTACAAAGATTACTGCACTTTTCAGTGTATTATTTTCGTACAACTACAACCATCCAGGGTCACCCAGGAGGGGGTAAGCACCGTGGCTTGTTGCTCATTACTTTTCTTTTTTCGTGCCCCACGTTACCGCTGCTAAGCGTGCTTGCTGAGTGTACATTTTCTATCGCGAGAAGAGTTCAACCGTCCCTTTCCCTCGTCAAGGGTGCTAATGCCGAAGTTTGGTACGACGTTTTCATCCTTTCTTTTCGCTTTCACCCACAAAGTTGTAAATATTTCACCCCATGGGGACTCGAACTCACGACGACTTTGCTACTAGCGGTTCCGAGTCTACCACTAGACCACCGGGACGACCTGTGGCAGAATGTCGAGAACTACCCAACAGGGGGTCTGTTGGCGGGATGCATCCCCGGCACCTTGGGGAGGAGCCCTGCTACAGTACAACCGAGGCGCCGCCACATGCATCATTCAAAGTGAGGGACTTGCATAGGCAGGCAGCGTGTCGTCGAATACAACAGCGGCATACACGGCCGAGGTCCTTCGGGACGGAGGGGTTCCAGTAAAGCACGACCGCCAGATCCAAACGACTGCTATCACACGACATCATGAAGTTTGAACGGGTCTACGGCAAACCATCACCTGCGGGGTCCTACGCGGCATTGCTCTCACATCGTACGGAGTTTCACTCTCCCTTACCGGTAAGTTCGTTGCCGTTGAGCCGGAGAGCTATCAACTTGCCGAGACCTCCANGGACCCTGCAAATATCGAAAGAGCCAAATGGTGATCTCGTTATTGTAGATCGCCGCTGGTGGGCGCGGCGTGGTGAAAAGGTGTGATGCGGCCGGCTGGTTGAACATCGGTCCGACCTACCGCGTGGGCGAGACACGAAAGGAATCAATCTTCGCACGCCATCCAGTCTCACCAGTGAGCTTGTTGTTGCTAATGGAAAGCACCTGCAGCTCGCTGAGAGCTCCAAGCGCCTCGGAAATGGACCCTGCACGAGACAAAAGCACAATGAGCGGCATAGCCTGGTCAAAATGCACATGTAACGCAGGACATCATGTGTCGCCCACGCCTTGTGTGTACT